AATAGAACTAACGCATTTATGTATACTCTCTTTAGAAGAGATATTCTGCTAAAGTCGTCAAAATATTCTGTATCTTGCATATGAGAATCTGACGTTCTGACAACTACATATCTTTCTGTCAAAACTTTCTAACTTATCGGAACAGATTGTTTTGAAACCATAATGAAGTTTGCAACATTTTCACAAACCTTTTGGCTCTTTATACTTTCTTTCAACAACTCAACTTTGTCTGTTATAAGACTGCTTCAAAGCATCCTGAGTTCAAAACTTTTGTTGTATCTATACTTTGAAGTTCATTGCAAACTATAGTTTCATATTCTCATAAGAGAGTTAAACTTGCCAGCAGATGTTTCTAGAGTTTGTCATATTCGGGTTCGAATAGCCTCTAACAGTTTTGCACAAAATATCTGGTAAAGAAGGTGTTCTTACCATTCCTTGTTTTCCCAATTATAATGAGAGCAGTTTCATTTTTAGCACTTGGATGTTGTAGATGTTTGCAAACCAACATAAGATAATACTCATAAACCTTTTCGTTCCATTGCATATAATTTCTTTGACATGGTCTAACAAAGCTTCTATAATATTTTCTTTTCCATTCTACTTGTTCATATTTATATCCAGTGAAGATAGAATAGAAGTTTGGAGAAGGTGTATAGAACTTTATACCTCGAACTGAAAAATCTTCTAACTTTGACAATAAGATATCCCAAGCATCTAACATCTTCATGCCACTTGTACAACTTTTATTTTCTTAAGTTTCTGTTACATTCTTGTTCAGACACTATTGTTGCTCTTGGTTTGTTAAAGACAACATCCCATTCTTTCATGACATAACATTCTGGGGCAGAGTCGACATAAATGACTAAACGTTTCAAATTCTCGACTGCTTTGTTATAGTCTCTAAAAATGGACACATATTTCTGAATGCTTGGAAGTCATAAAAATCTGAAACATCTATTCTGTACATTTTTATAAAAAATAAAAAAATATATTTTTTTTTATTCTTGACTTTGTTGTTCCATTTGTTGCATTTGTTGTTTCTTGAGCTATTTGTTGTTGAAGTTGTTTCTTGTAATACAATACTTTCACCAGTTGCATCTTCCATTCGAAACTTTCTGCCGTCATTGACAAATACATAGGACATAAAAGTTTTACAGGAACAAAGTTTGCGTCAACTAATGTCAACGTATATACTTGCCAAAGTGTTTGAGTTCACTAAGGTTGAAAATTCTGCATTCGAATGAACAATAGGCAAACCAGCAGAGAAAGTATTGTTTATACGCATAAGTATCTTTTGGTCATAATAGTTTCTGTCAACATTCGAATAACACTTTGAACCTAAGTTTGAAACAAATATATAAATTGGTGTGCTTAAAGTCAATGGAATAGACATTCCTTGTATGACACCTTTTCCTGTTATAGGAAAACTGTTGGTAGTAAAAAACCAGATATAAGTTTTGTATTATAGCTCATATTGTTTATAGTAAACTCAGTCGGACATCCAAACATAACGAAACCTGCTCTAGTTGCAGCACATGTTACACTCCGTCCTTAAAGTATTAAATAAGTCAACAAAACCTGTTGTGGTATATCTGAGTAAGTATGTTCAAAGGAGTATTTTTTACCATTCACAACAATAAAGTCTTCTGGTGTCAAAAGAGCAAAACAGGCTTTAGTCGTCATTGTGTTTAAGGTTAGTTTACAATATCGTCCTTGAGGACTTTGTAAGTTTGTTGTTATAGAATTATATGACTCAGGGTTTTTAGTCGTAATAGTATAAACCATTATATCTTCTGCCATTTATATATATTTAAAAGTTTTTCTGAAAGTGGAGAAGAACTTCATCTAAACTTTCACATGGCGTTTCTTGAAGTTCTCTGTCTAAGAAGTTTCAAATATTTTTGTAAAGACATAGAACTTTCCTTTGTCTACACGAACAAAACAAAACAGGGTCTTTCATATCGTTCAAAATGTTGTAAAGTCCTTTATATGAAATAAAGTCTATATTATTTTTTCTTCAAACATCTTTCAAGAAGTTTTGACATTTTTACTTTAGCAAATAAATTTTAATGAAATGTTGTGGTCGTCAAATATTTTTATGACGTCTGGGAAACTATACTTTAAGTTCAACGTTTCACCTCCTTTCATAACGTATATCTTGTCAATGACATTATATGAAACACCACAGCAACTAATGTCGGGTTCTATTTCTTTGATGTTTATATCGTCTGCCTCTGTCAAAAGTTTCAATAGTTCTTTCAAACTTCATGAGGTGCAATGACATATGAGTTCAACTTTTACAGGTTGTGTTCGCCAAGTTTAACATTATACCTAAAGCTTGACAAATCTTCTCCTGAGTTTTGAAGTTTGTCTTTCAGTTGTTGGTAGTCGTTTCGAATATCTGCAACAGAACTTAAGTCTCTGCTAACTTCAGGATATGTTGGGTTCTTTACAGGAACAATTGTTATACCATTTTCGTCTTCGTATGGTTTCCCCACTTCAACATCTCTGTCTTTGACATTGACAACAACAACCTTTGACTGTTTGTTTGAGTTGGTGAATTTAACTTCAACTCTGCCACCGCCATTAAACCTTTTGAAACACTCACGGCTTCTATTTTTCGGAAATGACATTTTACTTAGAATAAAAAGATGGACGTATTCGAGTATCTCTTCGAATTGAAGCAGAACAAAGTTTACACACACAAACAATAAAAATACATTGACAGAATAGTTCTTTATACAAACAATGGTAAATGTTATAGAATACAGTCTTTGCTGAACCAAAATATTTTCCATAAAGCAAAGAAAGTTGGTATAAACTGAAATGGTGAAAGTTCTTGACGTGACAAAAATAAACAACAAAACTTACAGATATTTCTAAAGGTAAGTTTATCTTACAATATTATGTCAAAACTGGCGTACTGTCAATATTTGACGGAGAGAAGTCAGTTCAAGAACAACTTACTGACCTGCTGCCAAAATCTGCTCGATGGAAGCTGTCGTTATGCCAATCTGAGAAGCCCCAGCAGGTTTCATCGAACGAATCTTCAAAAGAGCATCTTCCGTGAAAAGTGCTATTGGTTTTGTAAACTTCTTTGCTTTCAATTCATCTGGACCGTCTCTGTCACCAGTAATATTGTATTTGAACTGTACCAACAGTTGAAATACCACCCATAGTCTTCTGAGTCAGCAAATGGAATGCCAAGCCAAAAGTTTGAACGGTCTCCATTTGTATATTGAGTTTTTTGACCTCCTGTATGAGTCCATACTTTCACATATGGCATAATAGAACTTTGCATTTCAGGGTTAATGGTTGTTGTGAAATTGTTGTTAAAGTTCATAGCATCTAATGTCAAGTTGTATGACCTCATATCCTCAACTGTAGAATATTCTTCTCTTGGATAATATTTGCCATCTATGTTTATTATGATATTTAATACCGGGTTGTAGAAAAAAGAATAGTCATTTATAGTTCGTCTGAACAGTACAAACATAGTATCTGCATGTTTCATTGCAGTTGTTAAAGCAATATCTGTTCTTGCACCTGGGTCAGCACTTTGGTTTCCAACTTCACCTGCAAAGTCTTTGACAGA